TTTGAGAGAAGAAAATATGTTGTGTGTGTTGTGTCTCTTGTTCACCAAAATCCCGCTACTCTTACCCCTTCTTATATAGGGATGAAGGATTGAATAGTATTCATTATGGCCATTAAACCAGCCTTGTAACACCTGAAACAACCAGCCATTAAATGAGATTAAAAAATTAGAATTAATAGACAATTAATTCCGTAACTGATGAATTTAAGGACTCGGCCAGGCTGAGTCATGGCAGCATGATACCAGAAGTTGGCATAACTTAGCCCGCAAGGCGGACCAATTTCCGGATGACATTCGTGCCCGCATACACGAGTTTAAGCCTTTCCAGGCTCAGTTTGGGAAATCTACAATAGACTCCTCTTCGTTCATTCGAAGTTCTTCAAAATCTGACTGAACTAGTTGCAATTTGGATTGCTTGACCGAGTCCGTACCCTCGTACGTTGTCTCTAGTATTTCCCAAGCCACTTTAGCTAAGTCACAACCTGCAATAATAAGAGTAAATTGGCTTTTGTGCATTAAAGAAAAAAATAGTATCTAGGGCCTTGTTATTAAATCGAGCAGAAGCCATCTCGTTATTATCCCATTCGATCTCTGATTTGGGGACTGGAGGATCTTCTGGAGTGGCTCCAGCTTTGGTAGGATGAGTCCACCAAGCAAGAACCTCCCTCCAGACCCTCTCTCCTTGAGCTCGTAGGTGCATTTTGGTACGTGTCTTCCAGTAGGCATAGTTGTCACCTGTTAACTCGGGAGGTGGCCTATGTCGTTCCATGCTGCAATACTCAACTCACAATAAGTACGAACAAGATAACCAGATAATCAGAATAGATTGAAATAAACAACGCAGACTTGAGTTCAAGAAACACGAGAAAACCATATCGGTTAGACAAATATTTTAAATCCCCGGCTTTGATACCAATTGAAAAAGATCGTAGATCTTGAATGCCAGCGATTACTTAAATGATCCTACATAATTTTAGGCAAATTATTAAGCTGGATTAGCTACTGCAACTAAGACAGAAAGATTAATAAATAAAAAGCGGGATAAAAAAAATCAAGACACAAGAATTGATCACACAGTTCGGAGAAATTCTCCTACGTCTGCAGGGCTACTCATCCCTTTTGATTAATGCTTTTAGATTTTTGTTTTTATTTTTTGTTCATATTGGTGTTTTGGATGTCTTTATATTAAAATCAATTGTCTTGATTTTGTGTTGTATTTTTAAAATCTATATTCCAATTATAGGATTATGCATAACCAAACAACATTAATCCCATTCCACCCTACTACCAAACATGCAAAATACTTTCACTAAAATATATTACCATTACCAAGTATTTGATATCGCCCATTTTGATTTCGATTTCCATGTGCGAACCAAACGCACCCTCAATGTTCTTTTCTGTTCAGGTTCACTGAATGATATATTAGACTGAACAAAGATATTCATTAGAAATTATTGTATTAAGGAAAATTAATGCTTAAACACTTGCAAAATTTTCAGGAGATCGAAAATGAATCGATTTAAAAAAAAAAAATTATGCGTGACACATGCTTTGGTTTGGTTTATACATTTCGTACATCACCATATAATGTGAAATTTCGAGGAAATATTTTAAAAAAATTTCCTAATAAATTAAAGTTGATTACTCAAGTTAGATCACTATATTTTACCCAATCAACATATATGAAAGAGATTGAATGGTTGATAACCCAACTTGTAATAGAATTAAAATTGTTCAAATTTAAGAAAATAGTACTTATCTCGATTAAACTGACCAGTTCATCCTATGGTAGTTATTGTTGATTTTTTATAATAGTTTTAACCTTATCTCCCATGATGTCGTCCACGCTGCTTTGTTTGTTGAGAATTAATGATGACAATATATCTACTATATATCTATCTGCTATACTAATAAGAGATCAAGAGAGTTAGGCCTATAATGGGTAGAAAAAATGGCGGTCAATTTTTTTAATCAAATGAATGGCTCAGATTGATCAGATTTTAATTTTTTCTTAAGATTTCCTAATTTATCCTTAATGAATATGATTATCCGTTAACTTTTCCGTTAAATATTATCTTTTCCATTAATTTCTGTTAGTTCACCGTTAACTTACTCATTGATTTCAATAAGAAAGATCTTAGGTTCGAATCTCATCCCAATCAAAGTTGGCATAATTAGTACTCTATTTTACTCTTATTAAATTAAATAATAATTTAGTAGCTACAAAAAAAATACATATGCATTTCTTTAATTTAGAATTATGTGTCTACAATGTCTTTATTCAAAAAAAAAATCAATAAATTAAATAAGAGAAATAATTTCATTAGTTATATTGTATTTATTTTTCTCCAATATAAAAACTCTTTACATTCAAATTCATCAATTGATTATATTCGCTACATTGTCCCTACAATGTCTTTATTAAAAAAAATTAGTCATTATCAATAAATTAATTAAGAGAAATAATTTTATTAGTTATATTGTCTTTATATTTTTCCAATGTAAAAATTTTTTACATTCAAATTCATCAATTGATTATATTCACTATATTGTCTATTATCTTTTTTATGGACTATTTTTTAGTTAAATATCAAAGTTATAATACAAAATAATGCTATATATTTATTTACCAAGTATTTTATTAATACCATGAAAAAATTTAAAAAATATAATTAATAAAGTCAATCATATTAACTACTTTGAGAGATTTGTTGACAAAGAAAGTATCCAAATCACATAACAAATTGAAGTGATAACTACCTCGCAATGTCCTTGTTTGACAATCAGCAGTTAGTAGTTAGCGGTTAGCGTTAGCGGATTATATTAGCGAATTTTACCAGCGAATTATATCAACAGTTGGTAAAATATATTTGAAAACATTATTTGTTTAGATTAACATGTAAAATGACCAAGGGTATATATATATATATATATATATATATATATATATATATATATATATATATATATATATATATATATATATATATATATATATATATATATATATATATTTAATAATAATAATAATAATAATAATAATAATAATAATTGTTTTTAAAAAAATACAAAAATAAAAAATATAATTAAGCCAATCATATTAACTACTTGGGAGATTTATTGACAAAAAGAGTATTCAAATCACACAACAAATTGAAGTGGGAAACTATCTTACAATGTCATTGTTTGTCAATCAGTAGTTAGCTCTTCAATATTAGTATATATTTAATATTTTATGTCCTAATTTTATTTGCTCGCCCTTATGGTCCGTATTTGGTATCAACCATACCTATACAATTATTTTATTGACAGTTATAATCAATCTTGACTATATTATCATGCATTTGTAAACTTAGATTGCCTATTTAAATACACAAATTTAACATTCAATTATCTATGCATGAACAATTCCAATATAATCTTGCATTGATATACTTTAAAGTACTTATTTAAAAAAAAAAAAAAAAAAAAACATTGGGCATTATCCCAATCGCGCAATGCGCGTAAAAAACTAGTATATATATATATATATATATATATATATATATATATATATATATATATATATATATATATATTTAAAAAAACATTGGGCATTATCTAATCACACAATGCGTATATATATATATATATATATATATATATATATATATATATATATATATATATATATCATGCATGATCTTCTCTCAACATGTAGGGTTGAATAATTTCCTCCAATGAAAATGGAGCTGACCAAATAAGACAAACGCAACATGATAGATTGATAGCTCCTTGGGGAGAAAGTCAATATATTCATAAATATTTTTAAATTTGAATACCACTATATTCATACATACTTTTTAATTTTAATTTCTTTTACTTAAATCGTTTTGTCTAAATTAATTCGAATACAATAAAATATAGTATAAATTTATATACTACATTAATTAAATGATTCATAAAAAGTAGATAAAAAGCGTATTTAATGTGTTAATTAAATGATTCATGAAAAGTAGACTAAAAACTATTTAATTTATTGTGTGAAGAAATAAAAGAGATAAAATATAAATGAGAGAAGATAAGGAAAAGTGGTGCTAATAATATTTAAGCCTATAACATAAGTCTTTTAACATTAAGCTAAGTTTGGAGCTCGACCGACTAAGGTACTTAAACTATTGACACTTTTAACATAAATACAGATTTTATATAACATTTAATGCTTGTTCTCATTTGAACCAATATATATATATATATATATATATATATATATATATATATATATATATATATATATATATATATATATATATATATATATATATATGTATAGAATTAAGTTCCCGTGCGGTTAAGTGTCTCCCGTGCGATTGTGCGGTGAGTAATGTGCGTGAGTTTTGTACTTAAAGTGCGTGAGATTTGTGCTTAAGGTGCGTGAGTTTTGTGCTTAAGGTCCGTGAGTTTTGTTCTTAAGGTGCGTGAGTTTTGTGCTTAATGTGAGTAATTGTTGAAACTTAAGGTGTGTGAGTTTTGTGCTTAAGGTGCGAGGGATTTGTGTTTTAGGGTCCGTTTGAAAAGCAGGAAAATGACTTCTGGAAAATGATTTATGGAAAATGAGTCATTTTTCGGAAAACATTTCCAGTGTTTGGTTGCATTTGAAAAACTGTTATGGTGTGTTTGGTTCATTTTTTGGAAAATGAGTAGAATGGTATAATTAAATATTTTAATTATTTTATTTACCATAAAAAAAACACATTTTAAATGTTTGAAACTTAAAAAAAAAAAAAAAAAAAAAAAAAAAAAAAAAAAAAAAAAAAAAAACTGGTTTCCGGCAAAACCCAGTTCCGCCGAAACCGTAGCTATGGTTTTCGGCGGAACTGGGTTCTGCCAGAAACCATAGCCATTGTTTCTGGCGGAAACCAGTTCCGCCAGAAACTTAAAAAAAAAAAATGAAATAGCAATGGCGAAAAAGTCATTTTTCGCGAAATTGAGCACATTTTTCCCTGTCAACGGAAAATGTTTTTCGTTGGCTGGATTTTCCAAGTGTAGCCAAACACAAAAAACCCAGAAAATGATTTCAAGAAATCATTTTTTGGGTTTCCAAACACAGCCTAAGGTGCGTGAGGTTTGTGCTTAAGGTGCGTGAGTTTTGTGCTTAAGGTGTGTGAGGTTTGTGCTTAAGGTGCGTGAGTTTGTGTTCTTAAGTTGTTTTGTTTGTGTGCTTAATGTGTGTGTGTTGTGTACTTAAAATGTGTCAGTTTAACGCTTAATGTGCGTCCAACCTCACAACCGCATTGGAAGCCCTTCCCACACCTGATCTCTTCCCCAAGGTTGCAGTAGGCGCTAGGCGCTAGTCGGGCGGCCGGGCAGCGCCTAGCGCCTAGGCGGATTCTAGGCGGGGCTAGGCGGGCACCAAAAAAATTAAAAAAAATAGTGACAGACTTGTAGTTCGACAATTATAATGAGGTTGTTTTCAACGTTCACTCAAATAACACATCTAAATAAATGAAATAATGATAATTTATAAGTCATAATGTCATAATAATATTAAAATCAATAATTAATGAAAGACGACATCGGTCAAAATCAGTCAAAATCAGACAAAATCGGTCAAAATTGGTCAAAAACGGTCAAAATCGGACGAAATCGGTCGACTCGGCCGAGTTGGCCGAGTTGACCGACTCGGCCGAGTTTGACCGCCTAGGCCGCCTAGCGGCCGCCCAGGCCGCCTAGGCCGCCTAGCGGCCGCCCAGGCCGCCTAGCGGCCGCCCAGGCCGCCTAGGCGGCCGCCTAGGCGGCCGACCGAGTTTTGGCCGCCTATAGGCCAAAACTCCAAGGTAAGTGGCCGCCTAGCGCCTAGGCGGGCGCCTAGGCGGCTAGGCGGCCGAGTTTTACATCACTGCTCTTCCCTATATATATATATATATATATATATATATATATATATATATATATATATATATATATATATATATATATATATATATATATATTTTACAGGCTTTAAAAAATAATTTGATCCATTCAACACACATTAAACAATGTATTTTATCTTCCTATATATACCCTCTTCACAACCAAAATTTTCACAACACACTTTCTCATACAACAAAAAGAAGAAAAAGAAATGGCTCTTACAAAACTCAACAAAGTGACCTTTGTCGCTCTCCTTGTCTACTTCATCCTCATTGCATCATATGGTGGGTACTCTCTATTTCTATGCTTTTAGTATGAGGTTATTTGTTATTAATGAGGACTTTTGACATTGTTGTGAAATCATATATATGAATGCAGAAACACAAATGGTTGAAGCAAAGAATTGTATGAGGCAAAGAAGTTGGGGCCATCGCTGCACCCCAACGCGTTGCGGAATTTGGTGCAAGGGAATCGGTGGCTACAAGTCGTACTGTAAAGATCAAATATGTTTCTGTCACTATCATTGCAATAGTTAAATGAAAATATTTCTAAGTTGCACTATTTTCATACCCAAAATAGTGTATTATATATATAATAAAAAGAAAAAAATGTTGCTATATACGAATGACTCGAGTCATTTTGTTCCACAGCAACAATTGTATGTTGTAACATGTACACATGACACTAGTTGTGTGTATATATCTTAATGTGTGTTGTATGTTGAATACTATCATTACTATATGTATAATGAGTCATATTCGAGTTTTTAATATTTGCAAAGTTTGATATTGTTCTAGTAGGTACATGTGATATATCGTACTTTAAAAAAAAGAGTTATGTCTTGCTAGATAATTAATTTGCCAATCAACCTCCCTACTTGTTATAAGCTCCATTTTACTTTCGGAATCTAGTTCGACTTTTAAATGTGTCTACAGCCCTTTTCAAGCAACACAGAAGATTTGTGTCATTCTCTTTAATTTGGTTTTACTATCTTCCATTTTATCATGTATATTTTTAAGGAGCACGTTTTCTGAAATTAGCTAATGGTTACTCATATTTTGGATTAAATTCATACTAATGTTAAAAAAGAACTTTCCAAAAATAAAGCAGCGTGGACGACATCATGGGAGATAAGGCTAAAACTATTATGAAAAAATCAACAATAACTATCATAGGATGAACTGGATGGTCGGTTTAATTGTGATAAGTATTATTTTCTTAAATTTGAACAATTTTAATTCTAATACAACTATACAAGTTGGGTTATCAATCATTCAATCGCTTTCATATATGTTGATTGGGTAAAATATAGTGATCTAACTTGAGTAATCAACTTTAATTTGTTAGGAAATTTGTTTAAAATATTTCCTCGAAATTTCACATTATGGTAATGTACGAAATGTATAAACCAAACCAAAGCATGTGTCACACATAATTTTATTTTATTTTTTTTTTAAATCGTTTCATTTTCGATATCCTGAAAATTTTACAGAGTGTTTAAGCATCAATTTTCCTTAATACAATAATTTATAATGAATATCTTTGTCCAGTCAAATATATCATTCAGTGAACCTGAACAGAAAAGAACATTGAGTGTTACCAGAGGAGTTCACAGAAATTTTTCTCAAAATTTGATAAAGGTTTGAGACTGAAAAATAAAGCTAACAATTTTCACATCTGTAAAACATTTTTTCGAAGAAGCTACATATATATAATGAATTTGTAATTAATATTATTCAACATTGCATTAATATGATTCTTAAAACCATATTGAAACACCTTTAATTTAAAATTACACTTTTTTTTTTAAACCAACGCAAATCAATAGATTAATTCATCATCAAATTCAAGATACATCTCGGTGGAACAGAGTCCCAAACACTAAGGACAGACCTAGAAACAGTCGCCCGTGCAAATATAAAATTACACTTGAGGATAGATGATGTTATCAAATTAATTCTGAGATATATTGAAGCTTATCTGAATAACTCTTGTAATTGACGATAATTAATAAACTTAAATTTCAATAAGTATCACTAATCAGTAAATGCTGAGTTTGTCTCATATAGAGATTATGAATATGAATTTGTCTCATACTAGAAATAGGAATGAAGTGGTAGACCCATTGTACAAGGATGAGATGTCTATAAATATATTGGTTGAATTGTACCCTTAAGGGGTTCAATCATCACTATTACTATTACTATGAATAAAAAAATAGTTTCACTCTCGTGGATGTAGACACATTGTCAAAACATGTAAATCTTATCTTCTTTACCTTTCTACCATTATTATTGTTTTGTGTTCTTGTTAATCTCAATCGTAAAGACACTCAAAATAGTAAATGTCTCCTTTTGAGAGGCCAAAATGAAAGAAAAGATAGACATGATCAATTCGATTGACAAATTATTTTATCTTTAAAGGCAATTGAGGTTCTATTTGATAGCTGTTAGCAAAATTATGAATTCTTCGTAATAGATAAATGGATATGGGTTATATAGCTCAACTTGAATTGAATAATATGTTAATACAATGTGTTGGTATTAATTATTCAATTCGGTAAATATCACTTTTGTCAAACAAAAGTTTAATAAATAATTTAATTAATTTATTTTTAAAATGTTTATAAATAATTTTTTTTTATTAAAATAAAATACATGCCACTACGTCAAAATTTAGAGTTAATTTCCAAAATGGTCATCCGACTATGACTTTTTCTCAAATTGGTCCCTTGACTTTTAACTTTCCCAAAGTGGTCCTCCGACTTTTGAATTTCAAGCCAAAATGGTCCTCTGTTAGCTTTGGCGTTAAGTTGGTGTTAAAATGAAGGGTAAAACTAAAAATTTAAGTTTTGCACTCCAATTTAAAGCAATTTGTGATTCCTTTTAGCAATCTGCACACATATTTCTTCAAATTAGGTTTTTGCTCTCTAAAATCTGTAATCAAATTGCATGGTTGTAGTAGGCGCTAGGCGCTAGTTGGGCGGCCAGGCAACGCCTAGCGCCTAGGCGGAATCTAGGCGGCGCTAGGCGGGCACTAAAAAAATTAAAAAAAAAAATAGTAGCAGACTTGTAGTTTGACAATTTTAATGAGGTTGTTTTCAACATTCAATCAAATAACACATCCAAATAAATGAAATAATGATAATTTATAAGTCATAACGTCATAGTAAAATATTAAAATCAATAATTAATGAAAGACGACATCGGACGAAATCAGTCAAAATCGAACAAAATCAGTCAAAATCATACGAAATCGGTCAAAATCGGACGAAATCGGTCCACTCGGCCGAGTTGGCCGAGTTGACCGACTCGGCCGAGTTGACTGACTCGGCCGAGTTGACCGACTCGGCCGAGTTGACCGACTCGGCCGAGTTTTGGCCGCCTTTAGGCCACAACGGCAAGGCTTGGTGCCGCCTAGCGCCTAGGCGGCCGAGTTTTGCAACCCTGTCAAAATGTGTGATAACCAACTAGAAGGCCAGAAATTTTTGTCTTGGGAAGTTTGTGGATAAAGTTGAAGGTGAACTTTTTTGGCCTTCTAGTTGATTATCCCACATTTTGATTGCAAATTTAGGATAACAAAGACCTAATTTGAAGAAATATGTGCGCAGACTACTGAAATGAATCACAGATTGATATTCCACCCATTGAACTCCTAACCTACCGATGACTAATGAAAGAAAAAAAAAAAGTTTAAATTAACGTCATAACCAATAAATGACCGAATTTTTTTTTTTTAAAAAAATATTTTTTATTGATTTTTTTTTTATTCTTCATCGGTTATGCGGTCGGTTTAATTTTTTCTCACACATAGGTGGAATACCGAATGTTTTATGAAAAAAAAAAAAAAAACAAAAACAAAAACAAGCAGTATCATGCATGATCTTCTCTCAATATGTAGGATTGAATAATTTCATTACGTAACATGTATTACACAAAAAGAAATAATGGAGCTTAAAAAATAAAACTGCACAGCGTGGATGACATTATATTATCCACCATAAAAATTAAGGCGTATGCAACATGATAGCGTGGATCACAAGCTATGCCAGAGGTCTTAATTGGTTTGTGCTTGGCGTTTATTGTGGAATTATGGGGAATAAACCTTGGCCTTCAAGTAGAAGTACGTAAAGGTTTCAATAATATAATAGTAGCCTCAGACTGTACTCCAAATACGCAATACTCAAACATTTGCGTGCAGGGATATCATGAAGGGTTGCTCGAATATTAAACTCAAACACATATTCTGTTCTGTTGACTATGTATTGGTAAAACCACT